GTCCCAAGTTCATCGCCAGTAACATCAAGCCACCTCAGGCAGTGAGTGGTGGTGTCTGTTCTGAGCCTTTGAGCAATGGTCAGAAGAGGTACCAAGAGTGAGGGTTAGGAAAACTGTACCCAATATTTGTTATAACCTGTTAAACTCTTGTCTCCAGGCAGACATTTTGGATGTCAATCAGATATTTAAGGATTTAGCTGTGATGATTCATGACCAAGGAGATATGATTGGTAAGTGTGCTTAGATAACAGGAAGTTTCTTCTTAGTTCAGTTACATGTTTTGCCTATATAAACTAAATTCTCCAGTATTTTGCATGAAAAGTATTGTGTTTATGGTTCTGTTTTTTAAACACCAAAATTCTGAAATATTTTACAATGAAGTCTCCTGTTTTTTCCATAGATAGCATAGAGGCAAATGTGGAAAGTGCAGAGGTCCATGTGGAAAGAGCCAGTGATCAGTTACAGAGAGCTGCCTATTATCAGGTAAATTCTATATGCTTGCACTGTGGTCAGCTGAGCAGTAACGGAACAGACATGGCAGGGCACACACTGAGGGCTGCAGCACACCAAACAAGTTATTAAAACCAGCCTGTGCAAGTTGGCACTCACTCAAAATTGGCTGCAAGGAATAGCTAAAGCACCTGAGTCAAAAACATGGTCTGTCCCTTCCCCTAGGTGTGCCCTGCAAGTCCAAGGGTTTACCTGTCATTGCTGTTCCTAGGACTTAGCTGAACAGACAAGAACAAATTCTCATGTTGAATTCATCTTGTAAATGTATCAGCCAAGACACCGATGTGCAAAAATCCATGCCCAGACTTGGGAAACTGCTGGTGACCAGGATCTGCAGCACTTCTTTCCAAATGCTGAGTTTCCAGCCATAGTCTGACCCCCCTGTCCCATCAAATCTCTTGCAGGGCTTCTCATTGCTGCTTAAATCTCCTTTGTGTGTGATAGTCAATGTTTCTGGTAGGTTTCTTTCATCATCCTTGTCCTTGTAGGCTCAAGTTCTAGGAAGGAGCGAGGGTTCTGTTTCCTTCCAGGATCTGAAGGGGCTCCAGGGAAGCTGCAGAGGGACTCTTGGGTAGGAACTGCAGGGACAGGACAAGAGGCAAAGGGGAGAAATTGAAAGAGGGAAATTGAGATTAGATCTTAGGCAGAAGTTTTCCCTGTGAGGGTGGTGAGACACTGCCCCAGGTTGCCCAGGGAGGCGGTGGCTGCCCCAAGCCTGGCAGTGTTCACAGCCAGGTTGGCTAAAGCCTTGAGCAACCTGCTCTGGTGGGAGGTGTCCCTGCCCAGGGCAGGGGGTTGGGGCTGGATGATCTCTAAGCTCCACCCCAACCCCTTAACTTGCTATGATACTATGAGTCTATTAAGGAAAAAGGTTCTGTGAAGGAATAAGGGTTCTGCTTTTAGTCAGCCCCATTCAGAGTTTCACTGCTGAGACTTTAGGCTTCCACACAGGATAAATATTGAACTCTTCCAAGCTGTTAAGTGGGAGGTGCTGGAATGCAATAAAACTCTAGTGCTGTTTAGTGCAAGGGAGGGAAGTAACATTTACCATCTGGCAGCATTTGGTATTATTCTTTCTTCCCATGACTTCCTTCACAAAGTTTGGAGGTATTTATAAATCTGGGTTTGGGAGCTTTGGACATGCTTTGGAAGTGTTTTTCTAGATAGAGAAGGAAGTGGTTATATATAACTACCCTCAAATCCTTAGATACCGAGTTAAAAATATTTGGTGTCTATGGACAAACTGTGGGTTTCTGTGATGAATAAAGTGAGCAAAGCTATAAAATCCAAGTACAGTAACTGTGTATGAAATCATTTCATCTGTAGAAATGCAACAGCAAGCCCAAGTGGCCAAGGGCACATTTTATCAGAAGTGCTTAGGAGTTTGATTAGGTCTACAAGTCTACATTGAAGGCCTTGCACACTAAAGCAGGGGGACCTGGACAGGTACCTGTTTGTCCAGAGACTCTTAGCTCAGTGAGAGATGGTGGCACACAGCAGCTCTTCCATGTTCAGAGCTGTTCTTATGCTACATGTCAGAAACTTCTGCTGGAAAGATCTGCAAACTCCACAGTCACCACAGAGCTGAATTGCTGGAATGCTGACCTGCTGAATTTGGAGCTTGCATTTTCCTTGAGGGCAGCAAAACCTGTCACATTTGACTTAACTGCATCTCTTAGACCACTGCACTGCTAAAACTAAACCATCCATCTGTGAGATCATACAGTTTAAGGAACATGTAGAAGTGTTCAGACTATACTGGATGCTTCTCTCAAATAACTGTGGGTGTCAGGTGCTTTGGTTGACCCAAGTTAGTAACATGGGTGGTGGCCTTGCTTTCTCCTCTTGTCCTCTGTTCCCACTGGCAGTGGCTTTTTTTCCTTCTCTTTTTAGAAGAAATCCCGTAAGAAGATCTGTATCCTGATCCTTGGCCTTGCTGTGGTCTGTATAATCATCGGATTCATTATCTGGCAGACAACAAAATGAAACCTTCCCATTGAACTCAGTCTCCCTGCTGAGGTTTCTCCCTCAGAGTGAACAGACTGACTAGTCTCGGAGATGAATTGACCACCTGAGAGAGCACAAGCTGGAACTACTTCTAGTAATAGATATTAGCAACTAATGTGCAATTAACTAGTATTTGGAATTAGTGAACCATGGAGACAGTATTTATCAGTTTATATACAGATTCTCTTGTTTTATGTAACTAAAAATCTTGTGGATTTGCTTTCTGTAATGTATTATTCCCTGTCCCAACTGTATGCTGAAGTGTGATCAGTCATTGGAGATGTCTTGTTTTTGACAAGGGGCACAACTTCAACATTTTGTATGTGTAGGTAACTTTGTTGGACTGGAATGAGTGACATTCAAAAGCAGCATACCACCAGGTCACATTACCTAAATCCAGCAGTTTCTAAAGTCCCCACTGTCTGCCCCATGGTTTTATTGTCTCCAGGTGGCTGTGGTTCTACATTCTCTTGAAGAGAAAGCTGATGTAACAGATTTGAGAGGCAAGGAGAGCATGTATGGATAGTTAGAACCACTCATGCTGGTCAGTTTAGCCTCGAGACTCATAACTGTGCTTAAGTTTTTTGAACCTGATTGGGGTGGGTTTTTTCCCAAAATGCATCATTTGAGGCCAGAATGTTCTTTGACTTACAATCTAACAAGCGACTTCCTTAGGCAAACTAGCTGGTGGTTGATTAGTGGACAAATAAATCTCTTCCAATGCTGACTTTCAAGCACTGGAAATACAGAGTTTAGCTGCTCACTCCCAATTGTTTCTAGGAGGTTTTAGGGAGAAGATCGTACCAAGGTGCGGAAAGGACGCCTAAGTTTACAAGCTAGCAGGATAGATGAGTGTTAACAGAAATCTTGCTTCTGCAGAGTACTCCTGAAACTCACTTGCAGTGTACTAGTGAATATTATGTGTGGCTTGTGAGCATCTGATGTTTTCCATTCTTTAATGAAGCAGGAAGTGCAGGAACTGGCTGAGTGAAGTGCTAGGATTTTTCAGACTGAGGATGTGTGTGCAGATGGAGAAGATAGCTGGTTCCAGCTGGTAGAGCTGGGCAGAACACAGCAGCCGCTCCCCACTTCCACGTAGCTCTGAACTGACATGCACTGAGGGAGCAGGAATCTGTCCAAAGCCCAAGGGAGTGTGGCAAATGCAGCATACTGACCCATTTTGTATATAATCCCTTTTCCATGTCTCCTGTATAATAAAGTAAATGTGAAAGCTGGGAAGGGAGTGTTCTCCCATTGCACAGTGGTTTGCACTATTGCGCCATCATTCCATCTCATAACCATCAATAAACACTTTTAAAAGCCTCTGGCAGAGCTCTTTTCTCTTGTAGTTTGGGCACAGGCACAGGTGTGTTTGCAGTCCTCTCTGTAAGCAGAGCAGAAGACTCTCATCAGCACAGCAGTGTCTCCTGCAGCTTTAGCTCAGTGTCTCTGATTCTTGGGAATGAAACTAGCTGAAAACGTTGAATTCCTTTTACAAGGACATGCACAACACTCCTGTGCAGAGTCCTGTACTACAGCTGATCCCGGAAAAATGAATCTCATGCCCCAGAGCAGTGTTGGGTCAGCTTGGACTATTTTGCTTGTTGCTAGAACTTAGAGACTTTGCTGAGCCTGTATGGGAAAATCTGACTTGAAAACAAGGAAACTGTGTGTTCTTCTGCTCCTTTTTGAAACTGTTTCTGGGAAAGGGTGGAGCCTGGAGCCTTGTGCCTGGGCAGATTCCTTTGGATGTCACACTGCTGTATAAGAATGAGAGCACTCACCCCCACACCAAGCCTCAAAGGTAGCCTGGGTGCATGATGTGTGGGCTCCATCCTTCCTCTGGCCTGTTTCAGTCCTCAGGAATTGAGGACACTGGTCCAGGTTTGCTGGGCTCAGGCCTGCTCTAGCTGCTTGACTTCTTTCTCCTCTCTCTGCATATCATTAGATATGTCTGCAGAACTGCTGCAGACATTATTTTGAACAGTCTTGACTGAGGTTCCTGAGCTTCAAAAAATCACCTCAGAAACTCTCCTTGCTGTTGCTGCAGCATTCTGGCAGGGTGTTTTCTGCCACTCTGGGCGTAGCTGGAAACACGCAGGGGAGCTCCAGGGAAGGGGCAGCACGCCCTGCCGCCCGGCGCGGGGCTGAGCCACAGCCCTGGGGCAGCTGCGGCTTCCCGGGGCTGTAACGGAGCACTGAGGATTTTTGTCGCGCCGGCTCGGGCGCGTGTCCCCGCAGTGCAGCGCTGCCCCGGGGACAGAGGCTGTGCCCCGAGT